ACCTATGAACCCAACCAATCACAGCCCTTTGAGAGAGGAGGCATCAGGGGCCGACTTTCCTGCCCCCCCTGGCAGCACCAACAACAGCAGTCCTTTTTCTTTTCTCCATGTTTAACAAAGATCGCTTCATGTCTGGAACGGCATCATATTACTCTTATGAATACAATAATCTGCTGACTTTGCTGCTACTAATCACACCACTGTCACTCAGCTTGAGATGGTTTTGCACAGTTGCTCAGTTCATTCACATTTGATACTGATTTCTTTTTAAAAAAATTAAAATTTTAAAGAAATTTATTTATTTAAATTTTTAATCTATTATTATAATATAACACACGTTACCTTTTCATTGATTTCTTTATTTAAATTTTCTAATATATTATTATAATAACACACGTTACCTTTTCATTGATTTCTTTATTTAAATTTTTAATATATTATTGTAATAACACACACGTTACCTTTTCATTGATTTATTTAAATTTTTAATATATTATTATAATAACACACACACGTTACCTTTTCATTGATTTATTTAAATTTTTAATATATTATTATAATAACACACACACACGTTACCTTTTCATTGATTTATTTAAATTTTTAATATATTTTAATTTTTTTTTAAACTCACGCTTTAATTACTTGTTTAATGAAATGTATGATGTTTATTGTTCTTATGTAGTTTGTATGATGCTTTGGCCATATTGTTGTTACACATTCATGCCAACAAAGCTAATTTGAATTGAATTGAATTAAAGAATCCAGTTCAACACGAGATTCAAACAGACTTTTCATTTGCATGTTTCTCCTTTATCTCTTTAAATGTTATTTCTGTGTGTTTGTGGACGCAGGTGGCCAACTACGGCGTGGGAGGACAGTACGAGCCTCACTTTGACTTCGGACGGGTAAATGGACGTTTCCCTCTCAGCAGCAGGAAGCTCTGAAATGATGCTTCTGTGTTTGTCTCTGAAGTGTTGATTAGTTTTGGCAGAAAGAAGAGAAGACGAAGTACTCAGCTCTTTTACTTCAGAGGAAGTAGTAATACTACAGTGTAGAAGTACTCTGTTCTTAGTAAAAGTACAAAAGTATCAGCACCAAATACACTCGGTGCAGGATAATATCTCTGATGAAGTTGGAGTATTGATTGATTTCACTGTTGTGATCTTTCAGAAAGATGAACCGGATGCGTTTGAAGAGTTGGGGACAGGAAACAGAATCGCCACCTGGCTGCTTTACGTCAGTAACCCGCACACGATGTTTCTTATCTTAGTAGCTATGAGCAGAACGCCGCCGCCCGCCCCGCCCACTGTTTGGTCTGTCTAGCTGTCAGTCAACATCTCAGTCATTGTGAACAAAATGATCTGTCACACTTAGTCACGTATACTAAGTGAACTCTTCACCTTACTGTAGTTGACCTTTGACCCCATTAAGTCATAAAGTCAGAGACAGTAAAAACTGAGTAAATATTTATTTGTTCTACTTTATCAGTTCTCTCCTGTTTTTATTTGATTATGAAGCTGCTCAGACGTCTGAGATGAGACGTCACATCTTATAATAAAAACATTTTCTTTCGAGGCGAACCTAAAATCTTCATGTTTATAGAATTTATTATAGAAATAAATCTTCACTTTCAGACAGCACTGATTATTGTGAGAGAGAAAATGTGCCAAACTGACTGCAAGGGTTAATCTGTCTCCTCCTTCATGCTGCAGATGAGTGACGTACAGGCAGGGGGCGCCACCGTCTTCACTGATGTTGGAGCTTCTGTCCGGCCCAAAAAGGTACAGTTCACTTTAGTGCTGCAGCTCCATCAAGCCTCTGACAGAGTAAAGATCAGTAATTGATTGTAATTGTACAATATACATAGAAAAAAACTCATGAAATGTTGATCAACTACATGAGGACGATAACTACAATCTGCTCAAATGTTTCTGAGCTAATTTAAACCTGTTAGTTCACACAGTAACACAAACCAACTAACCAACAACTCTCACGTTCTACAGTATTTTATATTTACAATAGAGTCTGGTGGCTTTGAAGAGCGTGATGTAACGGCTGTTTCTGTTTAAACAGAAAAAGGGTTCTGTGTTTGCTACATAAAGCCTCTCACAGGGTAAAGAATTCAAAAAATAAATAAAAACATCTGTCGGTGTGTAGTGGACTGAAACTGAAGACAAGTTGATCACCTGCTTCTGCTCCAATCTCTCTGAACTATTTTAAAGAGTCATTTTGGTGTTTTTAACAGGTGAACTAACAGGTTACAACACCAAAGTTACACACGTTAAATTATGTTTTTTGTCAATGGAGTCTGGTGGCTTTGAACAGAGCGGCTGTTTCTGGTGAAACAAAAAGGATCTTTAAAAACAGGAGTCTGAACGTCCATCCACAGAGAGATATTAATTTATTAAACCAGCAGATAATCCAGATTATCAGCCGCTGGTTTCAGCTCCACAGTGAAGTGTTGCTCTAAAAATATAATAATAACCTTTATTTGTAGAGCACTTTTTGAAAACAAGTGTAAAAACAACAAAACACAAAACAGTCACATGATAAAAGCAAGAAAACACTGAAGAGACTAAAATACACATTTAAAATAGATATCAAATATATATAGAATAAAATATTTCTTGTATTTATAATACAATAAAGTCAAATAAAATCAGGAAAGGCTCTCCTATAAAAGTATGTTATAATAAAATTCTAAAACATAGTGGGAGCCGGTGTGACGACGCTAAAACACGGGCGATGTGGTCATATTTGTTGCTATGTGTGTCTCCAGGGGACGGCGGTGTTCTGGTACAACCTGCACCCCAGTGGAGAAGGAGACTACCGGACCCGACACGCTGCCTGTCCCGTTCTGGTCGGCAACAAGTGGGGTGAGTTCACAACCTGTCTGAACATCTGGAAACAGCGTTCACACAGGTGGAGACACCTGGTGGGGCAGGTGTGTAACTGTACACACAGAAACTGCAAACAACAAGGTTTATTCAGCCGTTACTTCATTTCATCCTCTGCTGGGAAGCTCTCTGTTCCAACCTGAGCTCCATCAATCAGTCAGTCATTGATCATCAGGAAAGCAACTCAAGTACTGTACTTCAGTACAATTTTGAGGTACTTTACTAGAGTATGTCCGTTTTCTGCTACTTTATACTTGTACACTGCATTTCTCTGGCAGCTTTAGTTGCTCTCGACAAAATTCTGACTGCGTCTTCATGGTAAACTGTATTTTATAGCAAGCAACACACATTTAATACTTGATCTAAAACAAGAAGATGTATTTTAAAGGATCACAACGGTGTTAAAGTGTCAGTTTATTATCTGCTGCTTCAGGAGTTTAGAAAAGTACATTCATGTTTCTGCTTAACGTGTTTTATTATCTGCTGCTTATGAAGCAAAACGGGGAGGTAAAGTGTTATTGATTCATGTAATAAATATATTTTAAACCCCTTTTAAAATTGACCAATGACGTGAAAGCAAAACTTCAATTTTATATCGTAAAAGGCCGGAGGGCGCCACAGAGCTCGTGTTCACACAGCAGCAGCAGCAACACGAGCATAAAAGTTGAAATATGTGCTACTGACTGTCGACAGGTGGAGCAGGTCCTGGTTTTACTCCGACCCCTGAACTGGTCTTCTCTGTCCGCAGTGTCCAATAAATGGATCCATGAGCGAGGGCAGGAGTTCAGGAGGCGCTGTGGCCTCCAGGAGACGGACTAACAGCAGACCACCTCCTCCTCCTCCTCCTCCTCCTCCTCCTCCTCCTCCTCCTGCCTTCCAGTCTGTGACATTTTCCAATGCCAATATTCAATAACTATTCAAATATTGATTCTTCACACTGTTAATGCAGAATTAATGTGTTGATTAAAACTTAATTGAAACTTCACTATTTTATTTAGACGTTAATAAATATCTTATTAAATTGACATGTAGCATTTATAAGCAATATATAAAATAATAAAACTCTATAAACATATTTTAGTTTTCAGTATTTAAGAACAACTCCTCTCATGAAGGATCTCTACCAGGTTCTATTTATAAACAGATTACACTTCATTAATAAATATAATACTTAATATATTTAATACTTCATATAAAACATGAAGATAAATTTAAATGATCACAACGGTGTTAAATTGTCAGTTTATTATCTGCTGCTTATAAATCATAAACGTGGGCGGTAAAGTTTACTGATTAATGGATTCTAACATGTAATTGTGTTGATAGATTATCTGCTCAGTTTAAGGGTTAAAAACTCCTGTAAATGAAAGCATGAAACATGAAAGCACAACTTTATTTTTATCATTTTTATCAGGCTCTTTTCAGTGTTCAGTTCAGGGATGATTTGGTCCATTTTGAATAGTTTACACAATAAATGCCTTAAAGTGTGCAGATCGCCCTTAATTTCATTAACAAACACTGAATCTGGAAATGAAACAAATGAAGAACATGTGATGTAGTTTTGTGTTTATTACCTTAAATCCTTCAGTAAACACCATGACATATGAGAATTCATTCATTTATACATTCATTCATCCCAAAGTTGGGATGAACCCCTGAAGTTCCACATAATAAACAATAACTGAAAGAGTCATGTTCTTATAAATAAATAAATACAATAAATATTTCTAAATTAAACCCTTCAAATAGCACGGTCTAGAAATACTACGTTAACCTGCATCCTGTATTAGCATCAAAATATACTTACTTCCCACCAGTAAAAGTACTCATTATGCAGATTGGGTCATTTCAGAATAATATATATAATGGATTATATTTATTAACTCATTCATGTGTTCATCACCTTAATGTTCCAGCTGGTAAAGGTTGTTAGATGCTGCTGGACAGCTCAATCTGTAATAATACTTAAAATAACCATTTGGAGTCCAATATTTCCCTCTGAGAAGTACTGCAACAAAGCATGACATGAAACACTGAAGTACAAGTACCTTAAAACTTTACTTATGTACATGTGGACATGTGAGTGTTGTTTTAACTCACAGTTTAAAGGTGCAGCTGGTCACCTGTCCATCATCACTCCCTCACAGACCTCAGATCTGCGTCATCATCATGAAGATCCATCCTGTGCAGATGTTCTCCAGGACCAACACACAGCAGATTATCAGCAGCTGATCTCTCTTTTAACACCAGGACAGGAACTTCAGCTGGCAGAGGATCCTACTGCTACAACAACTCGCTCTGCAGACAGTAGACACTGATGATAGGCTTTGATTCACAATACAGGACTGCAGCTCCTGCATCACTGTGTATTTAGTTTCATTTATTCCAACAAAGCGTGTTTCGGGCAAATCTGTTGGCATCACCTGCACTTTACACCAGAAGAAGAAACGATGCTTAACAGAGAAAAAAACAATCAAACATGCACAACAGCAACAAGGCTGAATGTTCATGTTTTTTATTGACTGATGCGATCTTATCTGTGTTTAACCTTCAGTCAAACCCAGAAGTAGTTCCTGTTCCTCTTCAGAGCAAACTCATTCCTTCTGACACAACACTATGTTTTTGTAGGATGTGATGATTGTGAAATGAATGAAATGTTTAAAGTAGAAAACAAATTTGTTTCATCTTTTAAATATGCTTTTAATACATTGGATGAAATGACTGTGAGGTGAAACTGTCTCTGGTTGTTCTGAACCACTGGCTGTATAAACATTTCTAAATTAAACCAAAATCCCTTCAAATAGCACGGTCTAGAAATACTACGTTAACCTGCATCCTGTATTAGCATCAAAATATACTTACTTCCCACCAGTAAAAGTACTCATTATGCAGAATGGGTCATTTCAGAATAATATATAATGGATTATAATTATTAACTCATTCATGTGTTCATCACCTTAATGTTCCAGCTGGTAAAGGTTGTTACATGCTGCTGGACAGCTCAATCTGTAATAATACTTAAAATAACCATTTGAAGTCCAATATTTCCCTCTGAGAAGTACTGCAACAAAGCATGACATGGAAACACTGAAGTACAAGTACCTTAAATTAAGACTTTTATCTTAAATGATTTTATCTTGTCTGCAAATCTAGATTTTATGTTTTTAACTGAATCCTGGTTGCAAATGAATGACTATAGCCAGCTAGCTGAACTGTGTCCGCCTCAATATGATTGTTTTAGTCAACCGAGGGTCAGTGGTCGTGGTGGTGGGCTAGTGAGCGTGTATAGGGAAATTTTAAATGTCATCAAGTACGCTGTGATGAATTTAACTCCTTTGAAGGTCTCACTCTTAAACTTGGAGCGCTGCAACCTGTCATATTTGTTATAATTTATCGCCCCCCAAAACTGCCTGGAGGATTTTTATCAGAACTTCCTGAATTTTTATCTACTCTGGTTTTAAATTATGACAAAATTGTTCTTTGTGGCACTTTCAATATTCATGTTGATGAACCCACCAATGTTAATGCAACTGACTTTTTAAATATGGCCACTTCTTTTAACTTCAAACAACATGTCAAAGGGCAAACACATAACCGTGGTCATACACTGGACTTACACTGGTTTTTACCCTGGGTGTCAGCATTTCCTCTGTGGAATTAGTGGACATGACCATATCTGACCACAGATGTATTGTTTTTAGCTGCGATTCGCCTTTCTTGTCCTTCCAGTCCAGTTTATCCGTTGATACATTACTTAGGTATAGGGTTTCAAAGGTAAATGGAAAAACAAGTGCAAAAACATTCTGTATAAGCTCATGAATTCTATACCAATACTGAGAAATAACTTGGCAGTCCCAAAAAATGTGGAAATGGTTGGCACCAACCCCCCCACATCTCCAGCAAGTATCTCCAATGCCCCGATACCTTTTCTGAACAGGGGTGATAAAAAATCTCAATACACTTTTCCAACAAAATTCACGCCATACATTAGAACCAGTTGTAACCCATTGTATCTCGCATATGTGTTCCCAACATTCTTTTGTGATTTTCAGATTACCTTCTTTTTCCCATTTCGCCTTGACACAGTGTGTGCTGTCTGGGCCAAAAAATCCTGCATTATTTTGTACCATTCCGGACCAAATCCATCTGCCCCTGCCATCTTCCCTCCCTTTAATCTTTTAATTGCCAACTGAATTTCTTCTTTAGTTATTGTGGATAATAACTTTTCATTTTGTTCCTTTGTCACTGTTGGTAACTCAAGTTCAGACAGGAAGGCTTTAATATCCTGGTCATTGTCTATATGAGGTTGAGAATATAGTGTCTTATAATACTCCAGAAAGCATTGTTGAATTTTTTCCTGTTCAGTTTCTATTCGATCCTTTAGGGGATTCTTAATTTTGTGAATAGATCTCTCCGCTTGCTGTTTCCTAAGCTTATAAGAAAGAAGTTTCAATGATTTCCCCCCTACCTCATAGTACTGTTGCTTTATAAGAATGAGTTTGTTCTGTATGTCCGTGGTGTTCAAATCATCTATTTCTTTTTTCAATTTTGTTATATCCGATTTAATATTACCATTATGAGACGCGGAGTGTTGGTGTTGCAGATCTAGCAACTTGTCTTCTAAGTGCCGGAGTTTTTGCAGACCTACTTTTTTCAGGTGAGAGGAAATACCAATTATATTCCCCCTAATCACTGCCTTAAGTGTTCCTGGTGACACCTCGTCCTTATCGTTATATACTAAGTACTCTATATCTTTCTTCAAGCGCTCTTTAATATTTGGGTAATTAAGAATGTTTGTGTTCAACCTCCATAAGGTGGATCTTTTCTTCCTGTTCAGGCAGATATCAGCGTAGACCGGGTTATGGTCTGATATAGTACAGGGACCTATTTCACAATTTTTTACCCTGAGGAGATCAGTTCTAAACATGAAGATATAGTCTAACCTTGAGTAGACATTGTGTGCACATGAATAGTGGGTATATTCCCTATCGGTTGTGTGGCAGTCCCTCCACACATCAACTAATCCTAATTCGTCCATCAGGTGTACCATTCTTTTCCCAATGTTTCTCGAATCACCTTTCCCGTTTGAAGAATCTAATTTGGCGTTTAGTGTGAGGTTAAGATCACCGCCATATAATAGAATTCCCTGACTCCTTGTTGTTGTTAATTCAAGGATCTGTTTATACAAGGACCATTTGCTTCCTATATCTACCCTCCTTATCTTTATACTCTGATATATGTTCATAGTTCAGAGCGCTGTGCACTAAGATTGCCACACCTCTTCGCTTCCCCGAACTGTGAGAAGAATAAAAGACATGTTTAAAACCAAGCTTGTTCAGTTTTTCATGTTCGCTATCCGACAGATGTGTTTCCTGCATAAAAACAACCTTAGCTTTCTCTCATTTAAGGTTAGATAGGGCTTTCCACCTTTAACCCGGATTGTGTAGGCCATTAATATTGATTGATACCATCTTCACTGGTCTGCTATTCATCTAAATCATACAACGAATACACCCATTCTAATAGGCTCCCCACACACCCTTGTAAACACTGAACATGGAACACATGAACAAATAACATCAACAAAAGACAAAAATCAAACTGAGGTAGTTCTAACTTCCAAGGTAGGGGTCCTAGCGGTGGACTCTGCTTCGCCTTCAAGGGCAACTTCTTCATCAGTCAGTGGAGGAGGCCCTCAAAAGCTAAGGCCTCACTGAGAAGAACACCCTCCAAAAACCTTACTTATCTGCTTATTGCACACCATTAAACTGAATAACAGTTATTTTTCAGTTGTAAGATAAAGAAACAGCATAGTGGGTGAACCTCAATTTCCCCGAAGGCATAGGTGAGGTCCTCCTGAAGGCTCTGAGTGTTTCTTTGTAACCGGGGTCCCGCCTCTTGTTTGCTGCGCTGCTCCCCGCTCCTCTGCCAACTCTGCTCCAGGTCAGCTGCTTCATTTGCTCCAACGCTGTTTCTGGTGATGTGATGACCTTCACCGCATAGCCTCTACTGGACATATCTGCAGTAGCTTCCACAACTGTGTTGTAGATTTTGGTTTCTTCAGTGTATTTCACCTTTAGCCTAGCTGGAAAGAGAGTCTGAAAGGGGATCTGCTGCTCTTTCAGAATCTTGCGCACCTCTGCATATTCTCTTCGTTTCTTTAGGATGAGAGGAGGGTAATCATGGTCTAAACTTACTTGTTTGCCATTCCAGGCAAATCCTTTTTTCTTCCACGCCTTACGGAGCACAAGTTCTTTGGTCTTAAAGCTGAGGAATTTCACAATAATAGAGTGTGGGGGTGCGTCGTCTGGCGATGGTGGGCCTAGAGAGCGATGCGCCCGTTCGATGCACATGTCAAGCTCATCTTGAGACACCTCCAACCCGTCGCACAGCAGCTTCTCCACAAAATCACTCATTTTTGGAGAGTCCCACTCTGCTGTCTCGGGTACACCGTAGATGCGGACGTTTTCCCTTCTCGTGCGCCTCTCCAAGTCCATTAATTTATCCTCCAATCTTATTTGTAACTTTATTATTTCCGTCATGGCGTCCTCTGTGTTCTGAATCCTCTCCTCCACCTTCTCAATCCGTCCTTCAGCCTCGTCCATTCTCGCGCTCATCTTAGATATTTCTTCCTGAATTTCCCCCAAACTCACATTGTTTTCTTGGCAAAAGTCCCTCAATTCATGAAGTACCATGTCTATGTTGGCCATATTGTCTCACCATGCGGTAGCAGTCCACCAGTGTGTGGCCTCGTGTCGAGCAGTGAATCCCTTTAGCGTTAGCAGGGAAGCTAGCGCTATTTTCCCAGGTTTAAGCACCCACTATGTTGCTCCGTCGAAGCGTTAGTTTTTGTGTTTTTCACTTACCCCCTCACTTATCTACCTCTAAACCCAAATCTGCATTGTCTTAACAGGGTAAAGGTTTAAATTTCGTAGGTTTCCTTAGGATTCACAGTGCTGCGGTCACGGTGACATTCGAACCGGAAGTCACTTCAATCATGTTTTTATCAACTTAGAAATATAGCAAACATTCGATCTATGTTAACTTTTAAGGACACCGAGACCATTTTACACGCCTTCATCTCATCACGCCTGGATTATTGCAACAGCCTTTTCACCTGTTTAACCCAAAAATCTATTGATCGACTCCAGACTGTCCAGAACTCAGCTGCCGGGCTTTTAACCAGAACAAAGAAATATGACCACATTGCTCCTATTTTAGCTTCATTACACTGGCTCCCAGTATGTTTTAGAATTTACTTTAAATTTTTATTGATCACTTTTAAAGTTCTTCATGGCCTTTTATAGGAGAGCCTTTCCCGATCTTATTTGACTTTATTTTACCCCTTTTATTTTATTGTATTTTACTAATTTTATATTTATCTTAAACGTGTATTTTAGTCTTTTCAGTGTTTTCATGCTTTTATCTTGTATTGTTTTTGTATTATTGTCTCTAGGGTATTATTGTCATTACACTTGTTAAAGCATTTTGTAACTTGTTTTTGAAAAGTGCTCTACAAATAAAAATTATTATTATTAAAACTTTACTTATGTACATGTGGACATGTGAGTGTTGTTTTAACTCACAGTTTAAAGGTGCAGCTGGTCACCTGTCCATCATCACTCCCTCACAGACCTCAGATCTGCTTCATCATCATGAAGATCCGTCCTGTGCAGTAGTTCTCCAGGACCAACACACAGCAGATTATCAGCAGCTGATCTCTCTTTTAACACCAGGACAGGAACTTCAGCTGGCAGAGGATCCTACTGCTACAACAACTCGCTCTGCAGACAGTAGACACTGATGATAGGCTTTGATTCACAATACAGGACTGCAGCTCCTGCATCACTGTGTATTTAGTTTCATTTATTCCAACAAAGCGTGTTTCGGGCAAATCTGTTGGCATCACCTGCACTTTACACCAGAAGAAGAAACAATGCTTAGCAGAGAAAAAAACAATCAAACATGCACAACAGCAACAAGGCTGAATGTTCATGTTTTTTTATTGACTGATGCGATCTTATCTGTGTTTAACCTTCAGTCAAACCCAGAAGTAGTTCCTGTTCCTCTTCAGAGCAAACTCATTCCTTCTGACACAACACTATGTTTTTGTAGGATGTGATGATTGTGAAATGAATGAAATGTTTAAAGTAGAAAACTAATTTGTTTCATCTTTTAAATATGCCTTTAATACACTGGATGAAATGACTGTGAGGTGAAACTGTCTCTGGTTGTTCTGAACCACTGACTGTATAAACATTTCTAAATTAAACCAAAATCCCTTCAAATAGCACGGTCTAGAAATACTACGTTAACCTGCATCCTGTATTAGCATCAAAATATATTTACTTCCCACCAGTAAAAGTACTCATTATGCAGAATGGGTCATTTCAGAATAATATATATAAATGGATTATAATTATGAACTCATTCATGTGTTCATCACCTTAATGTTCCAGCTGGTAAAGGTTGTTACATGCTGCTGGACAGCTCAATCTGTAATAATACTTAAAATAACCATTTGAAGTCCAATATTTCCCTCTGAGAAGTACTGCAACAAAGCATGACATGGAAACACTGAAGTACAAGTACCTTAAATTAAAACTTTACTTATGTACATGTGGACATGTGAGTGTTGTTTTAACTCACAGTCTAAAGGTGCAGCTGGTCACCTGTCCATCATCACTCCCTCACAGACCTCAGACCTGCTTCATCATCATGAAGATCCGTCCTGTGCAGTAGTTCTCCAGGACCAACACACAGCAGATTATCAGCAGCTGATCTCTCTTTTAACACCAGGACAGGAACTTCAGCTGGCAGAGGATCCTACTGCTACAACAACTCGCTCTGCAGACAGTAGACACTGATGATAGGCTTTGATTCACAATACAGGACTGCAGCTCCTGCATCACTGTGTATTTAGTTTCATTTATTCCAACAAAGCGTGTTTCGGGCAAATCTGTTGGCATCACCTGCACTTTACACCAGAAGAAGAAACAATGCTTAGCAGAGAAAAAAACAATCAAACATGCACAACAGCAACAAGGCTGAATGTTCATGTTTTTTTATTGACTGATGCGATCTTATCTGTGTTTAACCTTCAGTCAAACCCAGAAGTAGTTCCTGTTCCTCTTCAGAGCAAACTCATTCCTTCTGACACAACACTATGTTTTTGTAGGATGTGATGATTGTGAAATGAATGAAATGTTTAAAGTAGAAAACAAATTTGTTTCATCTTTTAAATATGCTTTTAATACATTGGATGAAATGACTGTGAGGTGAAACTGTCTCTGGTTGTTCTGAACCACTGACTGTATAAACATTACATACACATTTATATACAGTCTATGTTCTGATCCCAGTTATCACCAAACTCTGCAGCTCTGTGGAGCTTTAAAAAACAACACGTCTGTCCAGAAACAGAGTTACTCTGAATAATGCTCTGGGGCTCTGTGGCTGGTGTTGATAGATTTTCATTATTTCTTTAGTCTACTTAATGTGAGGTCCCTTTAAACAAGTCCTTTATATGTAAAAGATATAAGATGTTGTTATAACTAACACTTATTAATTTTTCCCCACTAACTGAGGCATGTCCCTTAATTACTACTGTTTTAATTATTCTTGGCTGTCAGGCAGTGGAGGTGGCAGTTATCATTTTTAAACACAACTACAAATGTTCCCATGTCTACCTTAATACCTTTTTTATTGTTGGAGTCTCTGCAATCCATGGATGTTGTTAGGCCTATTTTAGGGGGGCTGAAACCATGATTGAACCAATCCACAGTGCAGTAACAGTAATTAGTGTAATTAAATAGTATTCTTTGGATCTCTGTGAGAACTTATCTAATAGAGATATACATGAGCAGCTGGGTAGTATTTATGTCACAGCCAAATCTGATTCAGAAATGGACTGGACAAACTTATTGTTTTCTCAATGTGTGTTGACTCAGCAGGGATGATATTACATGAGAAAGTTGATCTACATGAGAAACATATCTGAAAGCACCACAGAATGACTGAGAGCTGCACCGACTGAAGCTCTGTTGAGTTTTAGATTTTGAACTGTCACCTGCCACCTGAATTTTGTGTTTCCCTTTACATAAATAAAAACATTTCACCATAAATTGGTGCAAACAAATCCCAAGAATGCAGGAAATTAAGTGTTTAATGCTCTAAATCTTCGGGGGGAGGACCCCCCCAACTAACAGATTTCAGGATTCATGATAGAGACTCTATTGACATTGTATACAAAATACAACAAAAAGCAGTTTAGAGCAAAACATTGAACTTAGCAGCTTTAAAATAGCATATAACTTATAATCAATGATGATTTCTATAAAACAAAATTTATATATATATATATATAAATCCTGGAGGAGGACACACCCACATTTCTTTTGCTCCAGACGCCCATGTAACATTACAGTACCTTTTGTTCAACAGAGGAGAAATGGAAGAACAAAGTATGTCTGTTGCTTTTTATTTGTTAACATCTTGGCTTCTTCACTGCTTGTTGACATAAGTGTAGTTCTAATACAGTAACAAAAGATGTGAGTGCAAAGATTTTGCAAGCGCAAGTTACGCATCCCTGGGGGCTAAGCCCCCCCTGTGTTTCAATCTTAGTGACGTCCCTGCTGCAATCTCTTTTACAGCTTTTCCACAACTCTAGACACAAAACTCACAACCGATGATCAAAATGCACATTTTTCAAAACTCGAACCCTTTTCTCAATTGCTTGGATACAATACACATAAAACTTCATCATTTGTTCATTCAACTAAAATCACCTGTTCAATATGACACAACTTAACATCAAAGTACTACTATTTCAAAAGGCAGTTCACACATTACATTTCAAATGAGTGTCTATTCATTTCCTTACAATGATTAAACTATCAATTGAAACAACTGCTCAAAATGATAAGTAACTGTTGCATTACTCTTAATGCATAGTTGTATGGAAACAGACAAACAATCTTCCATGTTTACAGTAAATCATGAAAGTTTCAAGATAACGAGATCAGACACTGTGTCTATGGTCCCAAATACTGTACCACCTTTTCAGACTATTTACAGTATTGACAGTACTGCACTGTATAGATGCAGGCCCTTGTAATTGCTTGTCCAATTCTGCCAACTCGTTCCTGATGATTGAGTGCACATTGTGGAATGAGTATATAAAGAGTTGATTGGGATCCAATTGCAAGAGCATAGTGATACGTAACAGGGAGCCAGCAGGTGATACAGGTCACAGTGGAGGTCAAGCAGTGGTGGGAGGAAGACGAGGAAGACGTGTTGGTCAAAGGAATGGCAGGGGACAGGCACCCCTTCTGAGAGGTGGTCGTGGGCCTCGTTTGAGAGGTGTGGTGGGACGCAGACCTCATATTGGACCATATAATGCAGTTCTCCTTGTCACCTTTCTTGATGAGCTCCATCAGGTTTGTAGCGCTTCCCTTCCTTAACCCGATTGAGGAATTTTTCTCCGCATGGAGATGGAAGGTTCATGACAAGCACCCTCATGAACAAGTCACTCTTCTCCAGGCCATGGATGACGCCTGCAATGACATCACAGCAGACCAGTGTCAGGCCTGGATTCGTGGCCTATGTTGTGATTGTACTGTAGTGTTTTGCATCAATATATTACAAACTTTGTTCAATGATTCCACTGTGTCTGTAGTATTCTCTCTACTACTGCAGTACTTTTACAGAGATGTATTTACTGTACTTGTAGTACCATAATGAAACCTGTATCACCTATTTTGTTCTACAATATTTAATGATTGTATGAACAATGACACAGTGCTTGTGTGTGGGTGATCTATAGTTATGTTTCAATGGTATTTCACAGTAAATTTGTTTTTTGAACCAATGATTGTGCAAGTGCAAGTTTTCTGTAAAGATGTGAATGCACAATGCAATGTTTTGAACATTAGACAGCCTGTGTTACAAGTGATAACCGTTTTGAGTTTTGTGTCTAGAGTTGTGAAAAATGACATCAAGGTTCTGAAAATAGTACCAAAGTGATTGTAAAAAACTGTAAATGCCCAGCATCTTGTGCTGTGTGTTTTAAATGATGAAAACTTAAATGTTTTTGTGTGGAAATGAGATCTGTTCGAGGCATGGTCCTTGTTCCTGAACCTAGTTATAAAACTTAATTTAGTGAAACTCACTGTTTTTACTAATACTAGTAGTAACTCTTGTTAACAACTATGAGATTTTAAAGAGGGTCGCTAAAAGATGGAAAGAACAGTGAGTGCTTAAGCAGAACTACTGTGAGATTAAGTGTGTAGTGAGCTGCTGTAATGAAGAATCAACACATTTAACTGGTCACATTTAACGTCTTCTAGTATCTTCAACCAAGTCCAGTTGCCCTTGACCTCAAACTTCGCTTGATATTTAACTGGTATTCAGTGACCAGTGACACTGGCTGAGATGTGGTCCTGTTGACATCATCGGTCCGTGACCTTTAGCACTCACCGGATCAGTTCGCAGCCCAGTGTGAAGCGGCTGGAATAAGAATTAGCACCTCTAAATCTGAGGATGTGGTTCTCAGCAGGATGGAGTGCTCACTACAGGTAGGGAATAAATCCTTACCCCAGGTGAGGGAGTTCAGGATGCCCACCAGGCACATCCAGCTGGGGGGAGACATGGGAAGACCCAGGAGTAGGTGGAGAGATTATATTGCCACACTGGCCTGAACACCTCAGGATCCCCAAGTCAAAGCTGACTAATGTGGCTTGAAAAAAGGGAGGGGTCCCCTGCTGGAGCTGATGCCCTCGCGACCTGACCCCAGATAAGCAGTTTTTTTTTTCTGTAGTAGCATTTCTACTAATACTAGTAGTAAAGTAAAGTATGATATTTGAAATGATCAAACTCAATGTAATTAGGTTCTAGGTATGTTCTTTTTTCTTACTGTACTGTAAAATGGCTGCCGTATCTTATTTTGAAAATGAAGACTTAATTAATTAAAATGACAATTACAACAAACACTACAGTTAAAACATTATGTACATTTCTGGCAGGCTTCACAATCCATTCATCCATTATCTTTCACTTTTCCGGGTTCAGGTCAACTAAAGCTCAATTTTTGTCTGAGGGGAGGCCCACAGTCTCACACTTTGAAAACCCCTGTCTTGGGGGATCCGAAGGTCTTCCCAGGCCTGGTTCTTGGTCTACCCTGGGTGTGCCAGGAAAACCTCCAAAAGAAGGTGCCCAGGAGGATCCTGATGCCTGAACCACCTTAACTGACTCGTGAACAAGATCATGAGATACTTGTTCTCCTTCGCTTGGGGTAGGAGCTCACTCCCAACCTGGAAGGAGATATCCACTGTTTTC